GAACGGGAGAAGTGGACACTATGCCACCCAGAGGATGGCCCTGGTCTGGATGAAGAGTCTGCCATCTTGGCAGGGCCTCATTTAAGGCTTACTTATGTTCCGTCTGAGAACGCATTTATTTTGCCTTCATTCTTTGAAAGTATTTTTGCTGGCTGCTAGGTTAACAATTTTTGTTTGTTTGTTTGTTTAGCACCTTAAAAATGTTGTTCCACTGTTTTCTGGCCTTCATAGTCTCTGATGAGAAGGTAACAGTCTTTTGTACATAATTTGTCATTTTTCTCTGGTTGCTTTCATGATTTTCTTTTTATCTTTGGTTTTCGGCAGCTTTGCCTAGGCATCGTTTTGTTTGTAATTTATATTGCTTACGGTTCGCTAAGCTTCTTGAAAATGTAAACTTAAGTCTTTCATCATATTTGGAAAATTTTCAGACGTTATTTCTTCAAACATTTTTGCTGCATTTCTCTTAGGAAAGAGAAAAATTAAGAAAATTCTGTTCCTTCTGGGACACCAATTATACTGCTATCAGGCTTTTTTATATTGTCTGACAGATCCCTGATGCTGGGTTAATTTTTCTTTTCAATCTTTTTTCTCTGTGTTCTTCACATTGAATCATTTCTATTGATCTACCTCCAAGCTCACTGACTTTTCCTCTGTTATACCCATTCGGTTGTTAAGCCCAACAAGAAAAATTTTTATTTCAGATACTGTATTTCAACTCTAGAATTTCCACTTGTTTCTTTCCTATAGTTTCTTTTTTTTTTCCCCTGGTCTTTTCATTCACTGCAAACTTACATTTCTTTACTTCATTGTGAATAGTTGTTTTAAAATCCTCATCTGTCAATTCCAACAGTTTGGGTCCTCTCAGGTCAGTCTCTGCTGACTGTCTTTTTCCTTGAGAATGGGCCACATTTTTCTTATTATTCATATGTCATTTTGGGTTGCATCCTGGACACTGTGAAAGTTATATTGTAAAGATGCTAGATTCTGTTACATTCCTCTTAAACTTAAAAGGAGTGTTAATATTTTTGTTTTAATAAACAATTATTTTGTTTGGAATCAAACTGCAAACTCTGTCTCTCAATTGACAGCTCAAGTCATACTTTAGTATTTTTATCTGTAGCCACACTGCTTTGTGTTTGCCCCACGAGGTGTGGTTCGGGTTCAGGTATCTAATATTGCTTGTTATTAGATGGGGGGCAGCCCCCACAAAAAAACAGACAATGATGTACAGGCTATTTATTTATTAATATTTTATTTTTAAAGATTTATTTATTTATTTGAGGGGGAGGAGGGAAGAGAGAGGAGAGAATCTCAAGCAGACTCTGTGCTGAGCACCAAGCCCAAGATCATAACCTCAGCCAAACCAAGAGTCCAACGCTCAACCAACTGAGCCACCCAGGTGCCCCAAGGCTATTTTTTTCAGACTGCTGGTTTAACTCAGAACTCAGAATGCATTTCTCATATAAACAACTCTGTTACCTTAAGTGGTTATATTAACAAACCATTTAATCAAGTCATTTAACCAATTTGTACCAAATCCAGCTGTAATTGCTTATTTACATAAGAAAAAGCAAAGCAATGGCTCAGTTTTCTTTTCTGCAAAAAATCAGACAACTGAAAAAAATAACTGGTATAGGATCACTTTTACCATTAAGTTCTCCTAAGTAAACAAATGTGCCAATTACCATTCTCTAAAATTCTAACAGGAAGGACTTCTCTTTCTGGGTAAAATACAGAAGAACTAAAGACATTTACTCCTATACTAACAGTAAGAAAGTCAAAGACAAAATAAAAATCCTACTTCTCCATGAAGCTGGCAAAGAGCACTGGATGCAAGGAAGCTGTGCCAGCCAGTCTCTAAGATGGCACCCATGAGCCTCCCCTCCTAGTACTCACAGTCTCCTCCCATAATGAACAGGGTTGACCGGTGTAATCAAGAGGGTATAACAGAAATGACAGTGTATAACTTCACGGCTAGGTCATAAAAGATAGTCCCAGGCTCTAAATTTCTATCATTCTACCTCTCTTGAGCTATTTATTTTTTGTATTAACAGTTATTTTTATATATTAGGATAAACATCTAAGTTATCTTTGTCTTTTCCACAATTCTCAGCATAGTGCTGACTTGCTAGTTAATGCTCAATAATTATATGACAAATAAGTGAACACGTAATAAGGAGGTGTTAACTTTATTTCCATGAATACCAAAGATAATTATGTGAGACTTCTAAGGTTTCTTGAAACTGTACAACATTTGTTATTTGCTATATTTATACTTGTTTACAGTTTTATATCTGATTCTGCATTTTCCTTTGAAGATGCAAATTACAGCAAACTTTTCATATTGTGCCACAGTCCCTAAAGCTATGTTTATTTTGCTCTGTTGCTCTAATTCTCTTAGACTCCCCATCGGAAGAAGTAATGTAATTGTTTCAGAGATGGTACAGTACAGCAGAAGCTAGTGGGTTCTTATATTCTAGGCCTATATCTAAGAAGCAACATGTGAGAGCAGTGGAGAACCAAGTATGTTGATCCTTAGGTTCTCAGCTTAAATATCATCTCCTTAAAGAGAACTGACATCAGGTTTGATCAATTATTTGTTTATTTGGATTCCTGGCTAGATTATATGGTCCACAAGGCCAGGTACTAAGAATTTGCTTTACTCATCACTGTATGGCCATTGTCTAACATAGTGACCAGAGTAGTTGCTCAATAAATATTCACTGAATGAACTAAGTGAACCAAGATCCTTGTTTAGAATCAAGAAGTGCACTTTCTAGGCCTCAAGTACCCTTTTGCTCTTTATTATTAGGTTTACCTCAGAAACTTGCTCTACTCCTGGCCCTTCCTTCTCCCAAAGCAGCCCCCACTTTGATTTGGAATGGGGGAGTCCCTTTCATCAAGAGAGATAAAGGAGATCAAAGGAGGCCCCTTAATTCTGTTGCCAAGCCTTTAGTAGCCACCATCTATTAGAATTCAGAGTATGTTTTGCCATAAAATATAATTTTGGGGGTGCAAAATGGGTTAAATGACGTTTTAATGAGCTGGCTAGGAATATAACCACCAGAGTTTCTTCTGAAGAGAAATGTATTCTGAGTTAAACCAACAAGACTAAAATGCCTTTTGTATCACAGTTCATTTGTAAGTGGGGTTGCCTCTATTCCAAAAACGACTAATATTACAAAACCAATTGTTTGATACTGTTCTTTGAATAATTATTTATTTTCTTATTACTACTTCCAAAGGAAGATGTTATAATAAATTATAATAACTTTAGACTACTAGCTGATAATTTGCATATTTTGTCCTACTATTTATTTTCTCAAAGAAAATTAATTATAAAATTCGTTACTCCTGCTACCAGATACCAAGTCAAGGATTAAAAAATGTCTCTCTACTCAGCACGTATAGAACTTTCTGGCCATCGATAACATCCATATCTACACAACAAAGTAGAAGGCTCTTTATCTTAAGTAAAAGCTATTCCTTAATTGTGGTAGAGACTTCAGTGCAGTCTCTGAAGGCTTAGATGTGGGAAGAACTGCCTTCAGCCTTGGAGCTTGCTTGCATTGTTCCGTGTATCTTGGTGATGGAGGGTATTTAACTTACTACTTGGAAGAATTAGGCTGTATTACAGATCCTTTAAGAACTCATTAGGATTGGGCGCCTGGGTGGCTCAGTTGGTTAAGCGACTGCCTTCGGCTCAGGTCATGATCCTGGAGTCCCGGGATCGAGTCCTGCATTGGGCTCCCTGCTCAGCAGGGAGTCTGCTTCTCCCTCTGACCCTCTTCCCTCTCGTGCTCTCTATCTCTCATTCTCTCTCTCTCAAATAAATAAATAAAATCTTTAAAAAAAAAAAAGAACTCATTAGGATTAATGACTGAGTACTACTGAGTACCACAGCAGTCACATAACCAGCTGTCGAAAAATCACTGAGCTAAAAACCCCACAGCATGTTCTATTATCTGTTTCACAGAAGGTTCTGAAATACATCTCTGGGGTTGCATTTCGTCAGCCTATACAGGCACTTTGAAGCGTCATCGAAGGCTCTTCCAAGATAACAATGGTATAATTTTTCCTAAGGGAAGGCTACTGCTCCAAGGAATGCCCTCTCTGGGGTAATCGCTGCTCAGGGCCCATCCCCTGGAGCCAGGCCAAGAGGAGAGTGGCTGTCCTCTACACACAGGCTTATGGTCAGCTCTCTTCTTGCCAGAACTACATATAGTATGAGCCAGCTGATGCAGGGTATTGGCATCACAAGGACAGAGTCAAATATGCTGGCTAAGTGGCCTTGAATGTATCCCAAGTATCCTTCGGCTGTTTATGTGAGGAAGGGCAGGCCAGTTAAAAGCAGGCTCTGGTAGTTGAGTTGTCTTTTATTAATCTCACACCACCCTTGGAAACCCTTTAAGGTGGTTCTGTCCCAAAGTTATAGATGGAGCAGCTGAAAACACCTTTCTAGAAGGCTGGCTGAGAAGGAAAGATTAGTGCTGCTCTGAAAATAAAAGCCTATTATTTCCCTTGAACTGAAACATCTGTTTTGGTTGCTAGAATCATGAGTTGTATTAAGAGGATATTTCAAGTGTTGCATTCTAAATATTTCGAAATGGTCAAGTTCTAGATACTAAAGCTATTCCTATAGAATTGTCACTGTAGTGGAGTGCAGAGAAAGGAAAGCTTTTAAGTTCATGCCGATTCCTCCAGTTTCAGTGACTGATACTATGGAGTTTATAACGGTATACATGGATTCATCTTTGACTGGAAAATGATCAACAACTTGCTTACTAACTGAACTCGACCTATAATACTGTAAATCGCGTGCTCAATATTCTTAGCTTCTAAAGGTACTTGGTTTAGCAAAGTAAGGCCAAAGACAGAACTGACCAGGATGATCCAAAGTAGTTCACCTATTTCTAAGTTACATTAGGACCAAAAAATAAAATAGAAATGAATGTGGCAAAGAGTTTAGCTATAGCGTAAAAAAATGAAATCAGCCTTACCCACTGCACCCGATGACTTTATTGTACAGATAGGACGGCAAGCCTTTCAGGTGAATGTTGTTATCCACGTACACATACTGTAGTTCTCGAGATCGACCTAAATCTGGATTAGAAAGAAAAGTACTATAATTCCTAGAAATACGTACCAGTACGATGTGAAATGTAAAATGTAATCCATAATATTAGAATACGTCAAAATTTCTATTCTGGAGGATAAATTGTTATAGATTTAACTGAACTCTGAGTGTGAAATTATGTCAGCTGGAATATTAGATTCTGCATCAGAAAACGTGACTGTAGAAAAATAACTTAACCCACCTGGACTTTGATTCCTTGGACTGTGAAATGAGATAACTGGGAAGAGAATATGATTATAGAGTTCCCACCTAAAAATTCTGTGACCTTTTATAGACAATTTTAATTTAAGAATAGTGGTTGTTGTAGGTCTGCATTCAGTTTCATTTTTCTCCAATGGAAAAAAGGTGATATGAACAAAGCTGGCTGGTCAGCCTAGCCCAGCTTAGTTCTACCCCTGTATCACCTACTGCGTCTCACCTCCCCCGGGTAGAGAGAGGGGAGCAGAGGTGAGGGAGGGCTAGGGATCAGGCCCTGGCTGGGCTGAAGTCTCTGGAGCAGGTCAGTGTCGGAATGGACAGACTGCCCAAGGCTGTAGGGGGAGGAAGAAGCAAAGGGAACCCTAAATCCCAGTCCCCTAGTGAGGGGTGAAGATGAAATGGACAATTCCTGCAGGCCAGTGAGTAAGGACTGGAATGGGTATTGCTACAAAGAAAACCACAAGCCCAGAATGGAGTCACTTATGCTAGGCCACGTCACCAAACCAGGCCTTAATACCTAACCTAATTACAGTTTCAACCTCCCTCAGGAATGTAACCTTTAACCGGTCAACATGGAATTTCCTGGTAAGCACTAAGAAATTTACTGCTAGACCCCATCTGTTCCCCTCAGCAGGGCTACCTTGCCTAAAACAATGCATTCTTTCCTAATAATTTCCTTTTCACTGCGCCCTCTCTGCCTTTAAAAACTTTTCATTTTTTGCAGCTTGACGGAGCTCCTTTCGACTTGCTAGGTGGGATGCTGCCCCGTTATCACTTAATACAACCAATTAGCTCTTCAAATGTACTCAGTTGACTTTCTGTTATTTAACAGTATGTAGGAGGGATGGGAAGATGTAAGAAAGGGGGTCCAGAAAGAGGGGTCTGCAACAAGAACAGGTGTGCCAGAAAGAGAGAGAATCCAGATGTTTTCCAGAAGCAGCGGGCAATGAGGGAGCAATGGCTGGAGGAGGACTCGGTGAAGAGACAAGCACCGAGTAGTGAAGGCGATCTCTGGCCAACACAGGCAGCAGTCAGAGACACTTCCAAGTGTTGAGGTCATCCCTTCCTGCCTACTGTGTGCCCAAGAATGTTCCACCAGCTTTCCTTTCTACTCCTAGTGCTCACTGTGTGGGGCTCTTTGTCTTCACTGCCACAGAACAGAGTCCTCTGCAGCCTTGCTAAACCCTCCACTCTCTGAATCAAGAACACAATCTTGGAAAAATCTTCTGGAGTTTGCTTGTGCCAACAGGCAATAGGCTGAAGGACATCTCTTCCCTCTAGACCCACAGTTTGGGAAAAGACAGAGGCCCAGATAGCTGAATTAGGAGGTTCTTCAATATATTTACATTTCAAAAGGAAACCCATTTACCCATTAAGGACCTTAAGGATAGAGATATGAATATGATATAATATAGATGTAGACAGGCAGGAAAAATGATAAAAATCACTGCTCTAGGGAGGCTTGTAGAAAGTCTCATGGGTTCACAGTGGGTTCTGGACAATCTGTTACAGAAAGTGGGAGGGGTGACAGAAGACTGAGGTGAAGAAGGGTTCCTCGCGGGACAGGGAGGGAAGGGTCCATCTAGCCTCCTCCTTCCCACCGCTCGTCCTATCACAATGATCCTGATAATCCTGTCCAGGACTAGCACAGGAGCAAGACACAAAAAGAGGAACCAAAGCTGGGAGTGCTGGGAGGCATCAAAAGGGGAAGTGGCAACTCTCAGGGAGAAAAAATAATTTCCGGGCTACTGGCTAGAGATGCCCCTCCCCAGTGTGGTGGCTTAACAAGATCTAACAAACAGAATAGGCAGAAATGGTGCGTGATTTCAGACAGTAAACCACAGAAGGCAACGTGGCTTCCTCTTTGCTCTCTGCCTTGGATCACTCATTCTGGAAGAAGACAACTTCCTGGTCATGAGGGCCCTCCCAGAGATCTCTGGAGAGGAAATGGGGCCATCTTGGAAGCAGCCCCCCACCCCCACCCCAGGTGAAGTGTTCTGATTACTACAGTCCCAAGCCTATGTAAATATTCTGTTCCTCCTCAAAATCTTGCATATTAATTTTAGCATCCACCAATGGATCTTGTTTGCAATAATTACTGTATGGTATTTATCTAACAGTGATATCTCATTACCGTCCTTCTGTAAGGAAGAGCCTTCCCTTCCTTCCCATTTATTTTTTATATCAGTATGGATTCATGGATATTTATTTTATCATAAGGACTAAAAACCCAATACCATTATGATTTATCAGTCAAAATGTTCCAGTTTTGGCAACTAGGAGCAGCTTAAGGTTGCTTCTTACGTTCTTTTAACAAATTTTCATCCCTTTTTGAGCACTTCCTTACTTTCTGGCACAAGATGTCCCAAGCTCAGCTTGTATTTTCCCTCCTCAAACCCTGACATCAACTACTTTCTTCAAGGAGTCTTGATTCCTTTTCTTGGGGCATAAGTGTTTATAAACCATGATCTGAGTGCTGTGCGTGCTCATTACTATGGGAGTGCCATTCCTTCTAGAATCTCTTAGCAGACAGACCTATAAAACATATGGAAGTATAAGCATCTGCATATACACCTACATCGGTATTGCTGGAGGCATACCCTCAGCATCAATCCCTCGAAGTAGACTTGCTGGGTCAAAAGATGGGTGGATTCCTGGTACTTCCCTCCTGAAGGATTCTACCAATCTGCTTCCCCTCCAGCAATGTATGAAGGCACTGCCTTTCTCACACCCTCAACTTTCAAAACATGTTATCCTATTTAAAAGTTTTTGTCATTCTGATAGATGAGAAGTGATATCTTGGCATTGTCTTCATTTGCATTTCTCTAATTATAAGTGTGAACATTTTCAAATATGTCTGAGGGCCATTTTTACATATATTTTTGTGAATTGTTCATAGTTTATGTGTCTGTTCTTTCACTTATTAGCCACGGGAGCAGAGCTTCAGTCTGTGAGACGTTAAATGGCACAGCAGTGCCTAGCCCCTCAACCTTACCAGGTTGTTATGACAACTGAATGTGAATGTAATCTGTGAAAGTTAAATCACTACACAATATTTTTTGAAGCATAAGAATATATATACTACATGTAAATAATGTATACTCTTACATTAGTAAATGTGTAGAAACATATCTGCCGGCATAAAAGGGTATAAATTTATAGAACATAGATGGAAAAAATAGAGATAAAAATACAGAATTCACTTGCATTGAAAAAGGCCTCAACATTACCCAAAGAATTCCTCTTCTAGATTTCTTCACTACTTCTCTGATGTTACTACAAATCCTATCATCACAAATAGACATCTGTAGACTTGAAAGGCATACAGAAAACTGGAATTTTTCCAAAAAATGAAACTACATTGATAAAACGCAAAAAGCTCTGGTTTCAGATTTGCCTTTCAGAGTCCCTATGGGACTCGAGGAAAGATTTCTTTACTTGAGCTTCTGCAGCAGTGAAGAGTGTAGGATACTAATTAATGGAGTAAGAACAGTCTTGGAGTCAGACAACCTGGGTCTGAATCCCCGTTCTTCTATTTACTAAATGGGTGTCCTCAGTTTCCCTAACCATATAAAGGAGAAAATAATGCTCTATTTTTTTTAAAGATTTATTTATTTATTTTAGAGAGAAAACACAAGGTGGGGGAGAGAGAATCCCCAGTGGACTCTCTGCTGAGCACAGAGCCCGACACGGGGCTCGATCCCACGACCCTGAGACTGTGACTTGAGCCAAAACCAAGAGTTGGACACTCAACCAACTGAGCCACTCAGGTGCCCCAATAATGCTGTCTCTTAAGTTTGGTAAGAATTACTAACAAAGTTTCTAAATTATCAAGCAGAATCCTTGGCATACACCTTCCCCAATATATGGCAATTATTATTATTCTCATTATTAATAGGTGACATATTTGGAAGAGTGGCCCTACAGCAGAAGGCCAATTAAAAGAGAATTCTCCTTGGCATGCAGCAAAAGGCACTAACACTTTTCTATAGTTTAATTGCACAGAAAAGAGTTGGAGGCAACAGCCTCTAGAGACAGTGATTCATCCCCTTGAGTCAAGGACACAAAATGGGACATGACAGAGGAAGCACCTCTCCCCTCTAATACACACAAAAGAGCTTGTGCAAATGAAAAGAGGCTACATGCAAGGATCATAATACAAAATTAAATAAAAGCTGACACTGGCTACTTCCTATATGGTTTTGTCTTCTTTCCTACCCTAGTTTTATAGGGGAAAAAATGAAGAGTCAGTGATTTAAAAATACTATATGGTTTCGATCTTATCTTAGATTTTTCGATAGTCCAGAGAATTCTTTTTGTATCTCCTGACCGCTTTGGGGAGTGTTCTTTTTTATATATGCCCTTCATGGAATGAATGATTTTCTACCGAAGCTGAAAGAAAACATGACTCAGTTGTGATCAAATCTATCACACAGTAGTAAGTGTAACACCACACGGACATGAATATTTAATATAAACACTTAACCTTTCCAAATAACACAATCTCATACAGAGTACAGGATGTGGTGGGCTAGGAGTCAGAACGGAGTCTGAACCCTGGCTTTCTACTTTCTAACTGCTTCAAGACACAGGGACAGGGGCAAATCAAATGCTCCTAGCCTGTTACCTCCTCTGCAAAACCAGACAGTAATACTTATCTCACAGGCTTGTCAAGAAGCCTCAACAATGTATACAACACCAGCCTGATCCCTTGCATAATAACTGGTTCTCGATATAGCTTAGTCTTTTACCTCTGTCCCCTGAATGT